ATTATATTAATTAAAACGCTAAGAAAAGGTAAGATATATATAATTAAGCTTATAATTACACTTTTAATACTTAAGTAAGTATTTAAATAAGGAAAATAATACTTATAATAGCTTTAATAATAGGCTTAATTAAAGGGTATATTAAAATAAGTTACTTATTATAAGTATTAATTATATACGTATAATTAAATAAGAGTAAACCCTTAATTATAAGTAAATAACCTTAATAATAAGCGCACTTATAAAAAGAGCACATATAATTCTCTCTTTTATAGCTAAACATAGACTTATATATATACATTATCGGTACAATTGGTGCCCTTTAAAGTGTGACACTTTCTAACCGCCGAACTCGCCCAACTCGCCACGAGGGCTATGCCAATAATTAAGCAGCCCGGTGTTATGCTTTGCCTGAGCGTCAATTGGCAGCGTAACGTTGCCCCCTTTTCAATGTCGATTTCTGTCCAAGCACAGCTGCACATCTCTGCATCTCCTGCTAGATGAGGTTAGCGGTTGAACGTCTCAGCATGAATGATGTGCCGACCGAGGACGCAACGCCCCTCCGAGTGCGATAAACGCATCTCGGTGAAAAGCAGCGCGGCTCTAGTCCGAATCCGTCTGGTCGATTAGTCTACGCACCCCAGTATTATTTGTGTGCAACTTACACCAGACGCTAACAATTCAAAATGGTTAGCCGTGCCTTATCACACTAACATGTTGCAATTCAGGGTCCGCAGCAGCCTCCATCGAAGGAAAAAAAAATCCTCTTCAAAACACCAGATATCGAATATCGTGATATTGACGGGCTTCAACCGGCCGATATGCCGCGCTCAATACACCAGACATGGGCTGTGGAGCTTGCCGGATTCGGACTAAAATCTCGCTGCTTTGAAAAAGACCACCAATGCGCGTCGGAGTCTGGTCGCATCGCATTGCAAGACGCATCAGCATTGACACTTCCAGTTCGATCACAACAGGTGACCACGATGAGCGCTTTGTGCTCAGGTAGAAAAGGCGCTACAGTCAACATGAGGCCGGAAATCATTCCGACCCCGTCTCTGCTCTCCGAACAACTTTGTTTTCTTTTTTTTTTCAAGCCACATGGCTGTCGTCTACTCATGTCGTCTGGTATACTTGTAGGTTTCAACATTCAACTTGGAAAGCATCAATGCTCAACAACGCCATCATTGCTTTGGCCGCCCTTGCGGCGTTCCGTCCCGTCGACGCCATCTGGCCCGTTCCCCAGCAAATCTCCACCGGCAAAGACGTTCTTTTGGTTGACAAGTCCATTCAAGTCACATGCAACGGCAAACCTGTACGTTGGAACCAAGTCCCCTCTCTCTCACCAAATGCAAAAGTGCCTAACGATGGATAGGTCCCGTACGACGCGCTTGACAGCCGCAGCACCAGCGAGACCAGAGAGTCACATTGTGCCTGCAGTCAAGTTGTTCATGGTGCCGTGGCACGAAGCTTAACCGCCATTTTTGACCATGGTCTTGTGCCGTGGATGCTGAACCCGCCCGGAGCCGACTTTGAGCCTGCCTTGGATGAGGGCGTGGGCAAAGTAAAGTCTTTGACCATTACGCAGACCGGAAAGGACAACTCGACCGTCCTCAAGCCCCTCGCTGGCCATGTCGACGAGTCGTACTCCCTCCATCTCGACGCAAATGGCGAAGCGTCCATCAAAGCCGCCACCTCTACAGGTCTTCTCCGCGGCCTTGAGTCCTTCACCCAGCTGTTTTTCAAGCACAGCTCCGGCAACGCCTCTTACACCAGACAAGCGCCCGTGTCCATCCAGGATGCTCCGCGGTTTCCTCACCGCGGCATGGTCCTCGACATCAGCCGCCACTGGTTCGCCGTCGACGACATCAAGAGGACCATTGACGGCCTGGCCATGAACAAGATGAACATTCTGCACCTGCACATCACCGACACGCAGTCCTGGCCCCTGGAGATCCCAGCCCTCCCCAAGCTTGCCGAAAAGGGCCGCTACGCCCCGGGCCTCACCTACTCGCCGCAGGTCATCAAAGACATCCAAGAGTACGGCGTCGCCCGCGGCGTCCAGGTGATTCTGGAGATCGACATGCCCGGCCACGTCGGCCTCGACAAGGCCTACCCGGGCCTGAGCGTCGCATACAACCAGAAGCCGTTCGACAAGTACTGCGCCCAGCCACCATGCGGCGCCTTCAAGCTGAACAACACCGACGTGGAAGACTTCATCTCGACCCTCTTCGACGACCTGCTGCCGCGCCTGGGCCCACACTCGGCGTACTTTCACACCGGCGGCGACGAGTACAAGGCCGCCAACTCCCTGCTGGATCCGGCCCTGAAGACGGACAACATGACTGTGCTCAAGCCCCTGCTGCAGCGCTTCCTGGACCACGCCCACAACAGCATCCGCGAGCACGGCCTCGTCCCCATCGTCTGGGAGGAAATGGTGGAAGAATGGGCTGCGAATGTTGGCAACGACACCGTCATCCAGTCCTGGCTCGGGTCGACGTCGGTCACCAAGCTCGCCACGGCTGGCCACAAGGTCATTGACTCTAGCTCTGATTTCTACGTGCGTTCCCTACATCTACAGGGCCCCTCGCATTTACAGAGGAAACAAAAAAGACAGCAGAAGGCTAACTCGTAATATTAGTACCTGGATTGCGGCCGCGGCCAGTGGCTCGACTTCAAAGACGGGCCCAGCCTCCAGGCCGCATACCCCTTCAACGACTGGTGCGCGCCGACCAAGAACTGGCGCCTCATCTACGCCCATGACCCGGTGGAAAACATGACGGCCGCTGCCGCCGCCAACGTCATTGGCGGCGAGGTTGCCGTGTGGACGGAGACGATTGACCCCTCGAGCCTGGACACCGTCGTGTGGCCGCGGGCCGCTGCCGCCGGAGAAGCCTGGTGGTCGGGGCGCAGGGATGGCGAGGGCAATCTCCGGTCTGTGTATACGGCTCGGCCGCGGCTGGGGGAGATGAGAGAGCGCATGTTGGTACGGGGTGTTCGGGGCGCCGTCATCTCGCAGCTGTTTTGCGGGCAGTCGCCGCTTGAGGATTGCACGGCATAGATGGGGGGGTTTGTGGCAGATCTTGTACGATGCGTAGAATTTAATTTTTTATGGAGCTCTCAGTAGAGAAACATTTTGCATTCGGACTTGTGTTTCTTACTCGAGGACTTGCAACGCCGCTGACGACTGTCACATCTAGATGCGACTTTATGGCGACGCCGATCAAAGCTCGTGTCTCTACGTACGGCACATAGAAGAGATGCTGTTTTGCCAGTTGATTTGATAATTTGAATTAACTTTTCTTATAATATAAGAAACTTATATACTCTATAATAATACTTACGGTATTTGAACAAGTTACATAATACTTGGATATTGTTTAAATATTATAACTTGTAACTTGATATCTTTTCTACCTTAATACGTTTTTAAGCTAGCAATAGCGCCCAGCGTATGACAAAGTGCATCCACGCTTACGGCCCGGCGTATCCAAGATTGTCGTCCCTTCTCACAGCCTCGCGCAAGTGGTCGTGCGCCTCTGCATAGTTGCCCTGTGTTAACCCAGCTAGCCGCCCAGCCTGCTTTTTGCCACGCCGAGCACATCGACCGCCGGGGTTGTTCAGGAACCGTCGTGCGGGAGGTACACGCTGGAGATCCTGGAAGCGTTGTCTCTCCCGCTCAGTGTCTTCCGTCTGCTTCATGGAAGCGCATGCAACGCCTCGCGCGTAATGCTGCATCGCCGTCGTGACATCAGGTGAATGTCGTGTCGCCGAGCCAGTAATAAAGAAGTCGTTCGGCCCGTCGTCGGCGCGAATAGCCGCCTCGCTGGCCGTCATGGCCTTTTCGTACAGGGCACGCAGCATGTAGATGTGTCCAGGCATGTGGTTCAAGTATCCTGCGTCTGGGCACAGTATTTTCATCGTGTCTGCAGTCATGGCATCTTATGGAGTGTGAGACATCTCCATGGCATGGATATGCAGATGAAGTATCACGTTAACAGCTATGGAAGCAGATTAAATAGTGGAATTATCCTTGGGATTAAAGCTATCTAGGTACGGAAAACAGGCCCTTATTTATAGATATTAAGGTCATCTAATAGGTCACCTAAAAAGTAATTAATTTAAGGGGTTCTACGATATCTAGCTATTAAAGGTCTAGCTTTAATAGGGTAGTAGTGCGAGCCTTCTTTTAAGGCTTTTCGTATAATTAAAAAGCAGCGATTTAAGGTGTTTTAGAGCTTATTAGGGTCCCTAATAAATAACAGCCTTTTTTTATTAAAAGAGGCTTTTAACGTTAATATACTCCTATAAATTAGGTTAATAGCTTACTATTAAAGCTATTAATAGCTATTAAAGTAAGCTAAATTAATTAATTTAAGCTCTTTTAATAATACTAATAATATTAATAAGCTTTAATTACTTAATAAAGCGGTTAAATTATTAGCCTATTAGAATCTTTATTAATTTATTAGTTAAATTATTAATGCTTTAAATAAATTTAATATTAAATGTAAGGTAGTTAGGAAACCCCGCCTACCTGTAACGCGATTAATAACGTTACGTGGAACGGGGGCTTTATGA